AAAGAGCTATATTCGATTGTTTTACATCATTGAATAGGTCTCTGAAATATGCAACTTTGTCACATTTTAACCGATACTCTATCTGTTATCGTTTACGAGATCCCCATGTACAGAAACGAATTTGAATAGTATATATAGTTATATATGTAGAGTTAATAACATTTGATTTTCGAATTTCAGAGGTGTTTCTTTTTCTGTGTAGGTACTGCTACAAATTGACACTTATATAAGTAGAATTGAAACTTCTGGCGTAAAATGAATCTTGAATCTTTCGAAAACGCTTTTTCACATCATAACAAAAATAATGTCTCAAGACGCGCGTTTTGCTAACCAAGCTAGCAGTATCAGAAGATGATATGTCATTGACATAAAGTATACAAAAATGGCAAAATAATCTTCAGTTTTCATGAACGAATTGCTTTTACAGCTGATCAATAATAACTACAAATTAGAGCTTCAAGTCATTAAAAAAATTAATGGATCTTTTATGAAAACGACCTCAAAACTCATCACTGTATCTCCTAATACATTAAAATTCATATTGATTTTTTCCTCAACAAATCAATCAATCGCTATCGTGTAATATTAAAAAGTGTTATGGAAAGCTAAAAAAAACATATTATTTTTTGTTATGTGACTGTTTCTGGAAATTCAAAATATTTTGAAAAAATGTACTAATAGTCGTTATTCTTCAATTTTCAAATCAATAAACAATCAAATTTTCTTTGATCTTGAAAAATGACGATAATGTTTTCCCATGATAGAACAATTCCTTTTCATATTATTTGATTATGAAAAAAATAAAAAAACAAACGCGGGCAATGAAACTTTTTTATGGGGATTTTTTCAAAACTATTTTTTTTTTCAATTACAAAACAATAGAATAATTTTAAAATACCAAACTTGGCTCTTCGCTTCTGAAAGATTGATAAACCAATGACGTAGAAAAGTCGGAACTGGAAGTTTGTCTAATGAGTGGTTCCAAAAACCAATCAATACAGGTAGAATTCCAAATTTTTCAGCCAAGTAAACATTCAAATGATGACCAATTCATTGTTGAAAAATTAATATCCAAAATCGCGAATCATTGGAATCTTATATGATCGTTAGAATACTGGTTAAACTTCATCCGTTTCCAGTAACGGAGTAAACTGAACTAAGCCATGCCAAAGGATTAGCTGAGAAAATTTCTCGCATATTAGAATGTCCATATTGCTTTGAACAACAATAAAAATACAAAAATCATCCTTTCAACTGTAAAAGAAAAATTACAGAAAAAAATCAATCAAATCCAAACCCATACAAACTCATACAGAATACAATTTTTGAATTGCGATAAGGTTCATGTTGGACAGACTAGACAGCTACTGGGCTCTAGAATGGAACAGCACAAACATGACTAGAATTTTATCAAAGTCTAGGAGAACAGCTTTGAAACATGTTAAAAACTTCAATCACTGGAAGTTATCAAGAACTGGCATGTAAGAAACTGATTTTATCACACCGTTGTATGATAATGATATCTGAACCTCTGTAAATAAGGAAATCAAAGATTGAATTTTTGACAATTTGATGTTTCAATAGTATCTCTAGTACTTACTGATACGGGTTTTTTTAATTGCATTTTTCAAAATATAGATATTTCATGAATGTTATTGCCGCTCCCGCAATCCGACTGTTAGTTTCGTGAAATAATTTAATTTATATTATTTTATTCAATTCTCATTTATTACATAATAACTAATACATCATTGCAATACACCATATTCATCAAACTTGGTAATATGTACTATGGTTCATGCCTGAGGAGCGTTTTGCTTTTCAAAACAACAATATCTACAGGAAATGTGTATTGTGTGTTGTACGTTAGGTGGTTTTTGTTGTCTTCCAGCTCTTACAGCATAATCGTGAAATTTTGGCAATAACGTAGATTTAGTGTTTTATTGCGTAAAACTAGTTTCATTTTCGTAGTATTAGTAACGAAGCCAGTGAATTCGTTTACTGTTCTCGATCGGAAACCAAATACCTGACAACAGCATATCCATTGGTGTTATCTATTGAGGTACATTTTTTGTTGAATCAAAGTTTAATTTCGAATTTCATGAAAGGTTTTATGTTTGAGGAAGCTATTGTAGATCGAAACACGTATCGCGGTTTTTGTAAAACCCTTTTATAGTGAAAATCATACAATAAACTGTATTGATTAGTTTTTTAATATGGATTTTCATCAAGTATCGGCCAGTTTGGTTTGACCAATCAACCGACAACTGCTGTAGCAGAAATTTGGGAAGCTAACCTCAAATGCCATCGGAAAACGAATCCACATGTTTCTAGAAATGATATGAAATCGAGAAAAGTTAATGCAGTCAAGCTGCTGGAAAATAATTCCATGAAAATCAAAAGATAAATAGATAAGTACTTTCTCATCATTCCCATATTGATTTCAATTCAAGAGCCACCGGTAGACAGCTGTTTCAGCCTATTGGGCATCGTCAGTACCGGGTAGGCGGTCCTCGATTGAAGACAAAATGTGAAAAACCAGAAAAGTACTTGATAAAATAGTCGGTTGATTGGTCAAACCACCAACACTGACATAAAAACTTTTGGCAAGTTGACTTGGGTGTCACATCAATAGGTGGTTCCACTTATGTTTCACTTGCGTTTACGCAGCTATTTTTCTTCAATAATGAAAAAGTACCAATAGTGCTGACTTGAGTTTGATCACACTGTATATATGTCTGCTTCAAAATGTATATAGAATTTTTACCCGCGAGATACAATTCATTGTAACAAATACTGATATGAATTAATTCACCCATGATCGCTGCAGGTCCCCCATGAACGGAGGCCTCCATGTGAAGCAAGAACTGATGAGTCAGGACCATCATATCGGACGGGAGTCCGAAATGCACCACGTGATAAAAAGGGAAATGCTTTCAGAATATGACGATATGGACCATGATCAGCACACCGAAAATGTGGCAGAGGATCTCACAATTACTTCGGATCATACGGAATCGAACATACTTGACGCACAGTGATAAAAATGTGTTCAGTGCAATAGTCCAGTTTCAAACAGTTGAATAAAAAACAACAATTGAAAACTGGACTCATTAGGGAAGATTTCGATTGGTTGAAGAATGGATGAACTTGTAAATTTGTGTGTACATAATGAAAAATGTTATGATGAGAGAGAGAGTATGATGTTATGGTATTGTTAATTGTTCAGATACAAGGAATGTCGAATGTTGTGTAATCAGAATAGATCTTGGTTTCTTTATTGATACAGGGTTATTTGTTATGTGGTGGACTCTTTTGGCCAGGCCGAATATTATTTTAAACATGAAATGTTCTTAGTTAGGAAAAATGGGAATGCCGGAGAAAGTTATGAGGACAGTGTGTTTTAACTATTTGAATATTGAACTATCAAAAAACAATCTATTTTGTTTCTGCTAAAGAAATTTGGTGCCAAAGATTGTTGTTCTCAATAACCTAGTGAACATACGAACATTCGATGAATATCCTGATCTAATGAATTTTTATCATACATTCAACAATTCAGACTACACCAACCTCTGCTTATATATAACAGCTATTGACACATATCCTCTGAGTATATCTATCTCATAGATATCTGTCTGTGTCATACTTCATTGTGAGATGTTTAGTTAACTCTTTGCTCTACAAATATCAGTGACGGTAATGGGGATACACACCAAAAATGAAACACATCCAATTGAGCACTGTAATGGTAGAATGGATATAAATACATACTGTTCACACTGTAGCCAAGACCTTGGCTACAAAGTCTGGCTACAAAATGAAGCCACGCCCACCACCAATGGAATGAAATTCTGGACCGAAACCAAAATGCTGTGTGCTGTGATGACTTGAGAACTGCGTGAATTGCCTCATCGCCTTTGATAATTTTTAACGTATTTGTAGACGAAACGTCAGGCATAAAAATTTGTAGATTTCTGCAAACAAACTACAAAAATAGCTTTGACATGGACTTCGACTTTATTGTGAATATAATCTCAACTCAATACAACAATGTTATCGTAGAATATCATCTTGAGCTTGAGAATCAGCATAATATTGAACTTTGAATGAAAAATATATGAAATCTGAAAATAAGTCCTAGATAACCATAGGCTCTTAGGTGATCATATAAAGCTGGGACTTCACTATGTAGTTCGTAGTATTTATGCTACGAAGTTAATTCATTGGAACTTATTCATGTTACAAATGATGAAAGTGATAAATTATTTGGGAAACTAAATTCAATTCAGTATTAGCATTCGTGTGATACATTATCAAGTGCAGATCTGAGAACATCGAAACCGAAACTAGAGAGTTAACGCACTTTTCTAGTTGTGATGAACAAACCAGGAACCACAGAATAGACTCATCAATTGCATTAATAGTAAATATACTCGTTGTTTCAAAATGATCTTGCACCATTATATTTTTGTATATAATATACAAAGATGATAATAATTGGGAATTACTGTACAGCGACATCTAGTAGGTGAAAGTCAAACCTCATCGGATATGTATGTTGTGTGACGCAACGCCAACTAATCGAATTACACCATCAGGCAGTTGAAAAAAACTGAAATTGAAAAGCACATTCAACAGAATTGAACCATTTGACTCTGTTGGATGTAGCTATCATTCCAGAAAATGGGTAACAACATAATTGTTATTTTATAAATCGATGCTTTCGCCATCTATAAGGTGAGAGCTGAACGATGAGAGAGTTTGGCAGTCAATTGTGAGACCGTTTTATATTTCCGTGAGACTCATCGCCGTTCAATAGCAAAACAGTGGCCACATCTATCATCCTCTGGACGTTTAAAATTGACGAAAGCATTCTGTCACGACGTTGTTTAAAAATGAAAACTATAATAATAAGCTCAGATCAAATAATACAAAGCCCATAGCTTTGTTTATTATATAGTAACCTATATACAATGCCCATAGAACCTAAGAAGTAGCAATTTCGTGTCAAGTAAAATTTTTTCAGTACTTAGCCTGACCACTAGAGGGCGACGGCAGTATAATGTTAGTATTTGATGCATCAACAGAATTGGGTAGTTAGAAGTTGCTGACAACCAGTCGGATGGATCATATTGAAGTCGAGATGTAAGCCTAAATTGAATTGAATTAATTACCCGACTGGTTTGTTAGCGACTGCTACCCAGTTCCGTTGGTAATCACATTAAATACCCACATCGTACTACCATCGTCCTCTGGTGGTCAGGGTAAGTACTAAAAATTATACGTGACACGAAAATAACACTTCTGAGCTTTAAAGGGATTTGTATTCTTTGTTGAGTCTCATCTCAAATATTGCATCGCTAGCATAATTTTTACTCAATCCACGTTTTACAATTTATCTCATATTGCACTTTTAACGGGATTGAGTCATAGAATACCAAGCCTGAAAATTGTTACTTTTAGTAATTTTCAGTATTCAATTTCGATTAGATTTATACCTAAGACTGTAATCCCTCAAAATCGTTACAGACTTATAAATGGTCAGTTGCACCGTAATCCATCACAAATCTCAAGAAATGTTTGAAAATAGTAGAATTATTAAACTATCCTATTGTAGTAATGAATATTATTGGTTTTTTCCCAACACCAAATCGTTATTTTTAACACCCCGACACGTTTTCCTAAGATTACCCAAAGGATTAAGTTTGGTTCTGTACTATTTCTTTTCATGAATATTTACTTATTCAAGTTAAGTCAAGTCAAGTCAAAAACGTTTATTGATCTTTCAAGAAATAATTACAAAATATTTAGAAATGTGTTTTGTGTAAGGCCCTGCTGTAGGCTTATGCACATCAGTTTTTTGTGATGTGAAAAGGGGTCGATTCGAATTTTCCTCACAATGAATTCGACTTCCAATATTCTTTCTCAAAATCAGTCGTAATATCATGTAACAGAGCAGGATTTGTTTCTTGCAGGTACGTTATTGATTGAAAGAATCGTTGCGCTCATATAGTGATGTAAAATAAGCAATATTGTAAATTATTATCGTTGAGCATCCGTGCTATTATATTCTATCTTAACGAGGAATATTAAATTCCATATCATATAAAATAAAATCATATATCAGTGTATAAATAGTAGTTGATACGATTTCGTATTCATAAATAATACATTTAGCTAATTTCCGAGAGTTTCAAATCAATCACTTCAAACTGTACTTAACACTATTTATTTTGTTCACGAAAAAAATCACTGGGGATTTCAGCACGCTATATTTCTGGCTACTTCTTTGTAGAGTATTTTTTCGGGTATCCTCCAAAATTCAGTTTTTTTTAATTGAGTAATTTCGATAATTCCATTGAAAAAAATACTCACAACGAAAAATTCAGTAGTTTTCGAACCTATCATCATAGGCATCCTTCTTTATGCATTCAACATATAATTTTTCCGTTTTGATATTTCAAAGACCAATAGAATTATGCACACAAAAATGCAATTAATTACATGGTATATTCTTCAATTCAACTTATACATCCTGTATATGTGTATATTATTTCGTGAGGAACCTCAGTGACATTATTATTTTGAATAGTTCTGCCATGAAGTTGCCAAATACATTCGCGTACATGTGATAGTACCTTAGTTCAGATTTATTAACCATATCTAGAAATTAAAGATAGATGAATGGGATTGACGTTATATCAAAAAATGTGGCAGATAAGGCGTTACCTTGAAATATGTGGTGTTTCCTGTGTTTTTCAATGAGAAACATGAACCGCAATCCCAGTAAAAAGGATTCGAATGTCATGTTATACTTTGTGAAATAATTTTTTCAACTCTTTTGATTTCGATCCTCCTGAGTGTTTCTAAAACGAAGTTTTCATTATAATGTCCATCCCCAATTTCATTATATGAATGTACATATTCAAAATGTAAATGTATTTTTTTTATTTCTAAATTTCATTATCATGCTGACTACTACGTGGGCTGGAGGTTACCGTATATTGTTCTTATAGGACCACTCTATATTGACTCGAGTAATTTTAAAATATTCATAGGTCATAACATATCATAGTAGAGTTTATGTAAAAAATTAAACACAGATGAATCAAACGGAAATTTGATCTCTGAGTAAATTGATGTATCATTTCTTGGGATTTTCTGTTGAAGTGTCCTCTATATTTTCTTCAATTTGACCAATCTAGGTCAGATTCAAATTTAGGCTACGATTTCTCAAAGGTATCTTCTAGCCCAGTATTTTTGCAAAACCATCACTATCTTTATGTAAAATTGTACTGTACGATATTTCTGGTATATCAATTTCTCATTTGTTTAAAGAAAATATAAAAATAACAACAGATGAAATTGTTTTTTTTTCTCCAAGTGTTATAAAAACAGGTATGAACATTTTATATAAAAGATGTGGAGGAGGTGATACAAAGTGCACTGACAAGATAGGACGTAAGTGACATACACACATCTTAACAAATTATTATGAAAAAACCCGTGCTTCAATATGTTTTCCTCAAATAAATTTCTTCAAAAAATAAATGACAAAGTGACAAAGTAAAAAATTGAACAAACCAGGAACCACAGAATAGACTCATCAATTGCATTAATAGTAAATATACTCGTTGTTTCAAAATGATCTTGCACCATTATATTTTTGTATATAATATACAAAGATGATAATAATTGGGAATTACTGTACAGCGACATCTAGTAGGTGAAAGTCAAACCTCATCGGATATGTATGTTGTGTGACGCAACGCCAACTAATCGAATTACACCATCAGGCAGTTGAAAAAAACTGAAATTGAAAAGCACATTCAACAGAATTGAACCATTTGACTCTGTTGGATGTAGCTATCATTCCAGAAAATGGGTAACAACATAATTGTTATTTTATAAATCGATGCTTTCGCCATCTATAAGGTGAGAGCTGAACGATGAGAGAGTTTGGCAGTCAATTGTGAGACCGTTTTATATTTCCGTGAGACTCATCGCCGTTCAATAGCAAAACAGTGGCCACATCTATCATCCTCTGGACGTTTAAAATTGACGAAAGCATTCTGTCACGACGTTGTTTAAAAATGAAAACTATAATAATAAGCTCAGATCAAATAATACAAAGCCCATAGCTTTGTTTATTATATAGTAACCTATATACAATGCCCATAGAACCTAAGAAGTAGCAATTTCGTGTCAAGTAAAATTTTTTCAGTACTTAGCCTGACCACTAGAGGGCGACGGCAGTATAATGTTAGTATTTGATGCATCAACAGAATTGGGTAGTTAGAAGTTGCTGACAACCAGTCGGATGGATCATATTGAAGTCGAGATGTAAGCCTAAATTGAATTGAATTAATTACCCGACTGGTTTGTTAGCGACTGCTACCCAGTTCCGTTGGTAATCACATTAAATACCCACATCGTACTACCATCGTCCTCTGGTGGTCAGGGTAAGTACTAAAAATTATACGTGACACGAAAATAACACTTCTGAGCTTTAAAGGGATTTGTATTCTTTGTTGAGTCTCATCTCAAATATTGCATCGCTAGCATAATTTTTACTCAATCCACGTTTTACAATTTATCTCATATTGCACTTTTAACGGGATTGAGTCATAGAATACCAAGCCTGAAAATTGTTACTTTTAGTAATTTTCAGTATTCAATTTCGATTAGATTTATACCTAAGACTGTAATCCCTCAAAATCGTTACAGACTTATAAATGGTCAGTTGCACCGTAATCCATCACAAATCTCAAGAAATGTTTGAAAATAGTAGAATTATTAAACTATCCTATTGTAGTAATGAATATTATTGGTTTTTTCCCAACACCAAATCGTTATTTTTAACACCCCGACACGTTTTCCTAAGATTACCCAAAGGATTAAGTTTGGTTCTGTACTATTTCTTTTCATGAATATTTACTTATTCAAGTTAAGTCAAGTCAAGTCAAAAACGTTTATTGATCTTTCAAGAAATAATTACAAAATATTTAGAAATGTGTTTTGTGTAAGGCCCTGCTGTAGGCTTATGCCTCTTCAGGGTTGTTTACTCATTCACATCCAGCTAGACATTGCATTATGGCAGCACACTGTCTTCAGACAGTCCAAGTCACTGCATATGATGATTCAAATGACCTGTAAGAAGGCCTGTTTGACATCGTAGTTTATCCCTACTGAAGTCCAACAAATTTTTAGTATCAAGCTTCGAAGGGTAAATAAACGCCTTGGAGTCAGCCAATCCTGGACGACTTTGTCAGAAAAATCTTCTTGCCATCTAGGTGTTCAATGTTTGTTTGGAAAAGCCTGAAGCGATGCCAATGACAGGTTCTGGTCCGATGAAGCCGCTTGCAGCACCC